GTAAATCTTTTTACGGGTCGAATTTCTGTTAGATGTTGCGTTTCTTCGACTAAAAATCTAGTGTTTGTTCTGTCAAAAGTAATGACTCTATGAGTGTTCATCTTTGACTGTGCATCTTGAATTGCTTTAGTTACAACCTCTGAGTACATATGTCTAGCATTAATCATTACATCTACTTCCTTACTTCTGTCAATGAAGAACTTATTGCAACGGGTGTATGTTGCCATGACCATGGAGCAAATTGGTAAGTTTCTGGTTTTCTTCAAGACCGAATTGATTGACTCCGCTAGGTTTGTTGTCATGTGTTCCCAGCGTCGTCCGTTGTCCCATGTCAGTGTCTATTTTTCCCTTGGGATGTTGTCCAACCATTGTCTAACTTCAAGATTATTATCTTTTACTATGTTATAATAGTAAAAGAATCTCGGTTCAGTCATCCCATATCCTGGAAATAATATTACAAATTGAATTAATATAACTAGCTAAACAATTGTATAAAATATTAATGATAATATAGAATACGTAAAAAATTAAAATTACCCATATTGACGATATCTTTCTTCAGTGTAGCGTTTTTGAATAATCACATGAAGTTTTGTGCAATGTGTCTAATGCAATAGACATGGATAGAATAGATAACAGCTTTGGTCGAGAGGTAGAGATCTGAAACTCACACATTCCATTTTTAATAAGGGAATGCATCATAACCCTGGAGGATGTTGCACTTCAACTCGTGCTAAGAGTTGATAGTTTATCAATTATTGGTCCAACAATGTCAGTCAAGGAAGAGTCACTTATTGGCTCTATGCTAAAACTAAAGTGGCTGAGAGACAACATGTTGTTATTACCAGAAGAACCATCTGAAGAAGAAGTTCACACCCATTGTAGGGCTTATATACTAGGTTTAATTGGAAATTTTTTGATGCCTGACAAAACAGGCAACAAAGTACATCTTATGTATTTAGCTTTATTAACTAATCTTAGAAGAACAAGATGATATAGTTAGGGTTCTGCTTGTTTAGCTATGTTGTACAGGGAAATATGCAAAGTCACGAAAGTTGGTAGCAAAACAATGGGTGGTTACTCATCACTGTTAATGTCCTAGGCATGGTATCACATGTCATATATTGCGTCAATTTCTAGTAATCCACTAATATACCCTCTCGTGTGCAGATGGAACGGAGATAGAGTACTAAACTTTCAAAATAAACCTCACAATGATGTTGTGGGGTACAGATCAATGTTTGATCACATTTAAGCTAGTCAGTTAACGCTTCATATTTATTTTCTTATCTTTTACACATCATCTTAAGTAACAAAGTTAAGTATATTTATAGTTTTTATTGGCGTCATATCAAGACTTGCAAATATCAATACCAATGGAAGCATATAGAGATGTCCAACAAATATCAATACCAATGGAAGAATATATTTATGTACCGCCATCCTTTGTTTTGCAATTGTTGAATGATACCAAATAGATAGAGTCAAATTACAGTTTGTCTCTTCCAAGAAGTCCCTTCTCCACCGAATAATTTGAATGACCTCTACAAAATTGACATGAGAGAAAGACAGGATGGAAATTAGGTTACAAGACATGCTCAATGGATCAAGATATGAAACAACAAATGTGAGCTGACAATAACGGGTCATCCAATCAAGGCCCATTGTGTCACATACAATAATACATGGAATGGTACATTGCCAATTATATCTATTTTCTATCTGTGCCACCACTACTACAAAATCCAAGGAGGAGTGACCAACAACTAAGGACTACTAACACATTTGAAATAGGTACGACTTCCACACCGTTGTACCACGAGATTGCATCAATTCCTCTGAACATTACACCAGAAACAAACATAATTAACACAAGACATTCGTTTACAACAACATTGGAGGATTTTTTTACAAACTTATTTGGAGTTGATTTTATAATTCCATCTTCAGCATAAATTTACATGCAGTCTTTTTACTAACCAGATTTTGCTAATGAACTTGGTAATTCATCAAATGCATTCCAACAACTAGACCTTCATGATTATCTAAATCCTCCGCAAGTTCATCCTGAAATCTTAGAGCAACAACGACAAAACCCACCACGTCACAGACATCGCTCTCATTATGGAACTGGCCACCATTACGAAGATAATTAATTATTAATAGTTATAAATTTGTTATCATCTTTATTAATGTACTTTGTCTCCATCAATGTTACCTTAGTAATATGAAAACGTTAATTTCAAAATATTTGTCTCAACTATAAATAATTAATTTATAATTTAATATTTTATTTATTTTTTAAAAATAAATTTTTTATTCTCTAATAAAATTTATTCAAATTTATAATAATAAAGTTTTAGGGTTTAGGGTATTAAAAATTATAATATTAAATAATGTCATTTTTAAAAAAATAATTTAATTAAAATAAAATTTTTATTCAAAATATCATTGTATCATACTAATATTTAAAAATATTAAGTTAAAATTACATATTTAAATAAATAAATAAACAGAATAGTATTTAATATATTTATTTAATTTTGAAAATATATTTATTATTCTTTAATTATAAATAATTTAAGTATTAACATTATTATCTAAAATAATATACTTATTATTTAAATATTTTAATTAGTTTTTAAAAATTATCTAAAATAATTTACTTATTATTTAATTATTTTAATTAGTTTTTAAAATTTAATTATTATTTTTAAAAAAATATTATTTATTATCTTAAATATGTCAAATAAATTTTAATAAATATTTAAAATTAATATTATTTTTATTCATTTTTAAATAATATAAAAATATAAACATAATTCAAATAATAAAACTTATTTTATTATATATAATTAACAAAATATTTATAAATATTTATTAGAATAACATATTATAAATATTTATTTTAACAAAATAAAAATATATAAATATAATTTAAATAATAATATTTATTTTATTAGATAAAAACATAAAATAAAATTTAAGAACAAAAAAAATAAAAATAAAAACCAACTTAGAATTCGTTCCCGGATAGCCAAAATTTTATGTCTATTTGAGTAATTAAATTGGCATGGGTCTATTTGAATTTTATTTTATTTTTATAATTTTACTGTGAAAAAGTCCAAAGCAGGAGAAAAGTTACCTAAGTAGGTGTTGGAGACTTGCATTTCTAAATGTCTAGTGTCTGCATTCAGTTCACTAGGGAAGACACTGGTGATAGTACATTAATTTACAATCCGACTTACATTTATCATTGGTTACCTACCAGCATTGCCATTCCATTTACTTTTCAACCAAACCTTTTCAGCACAACATGGGGGCAAAATGGTGCCTATAAATTTAAACGTAGCTGCTTGTTCTGGCATTGTAATTATGCACTTCAAAATCATGCCTAAGGTTTCATGTTTCTGTTCCATAGACTCTTCCACATGATAACATCCTTATGTTATGTGAATATTTAATGAATATGATGACCTCTCACCTAACTTTATTATGTGTCTTATCCTTGCACAGTTACACAGACAAGCTGCAGCACTTTCAGCTGTTTTGTTCATTTTGGTGTAAAGTTTATCTACTTTTTGTTGGGAGCTATACTAATATGTTTGATGCCCTTGTGTATTGCAGAAAACTGTTGTGTCAGTGGAACTTCGGTGTTCAAGGTGCTGTCAAAAGGTATTGAAATTAATAGCAACCGTTGAAGGAATTACTTCCATTGTCCTAGACCCAGAGAAAAACACAGCGACAGTGGTTGGTGACGCTGATCCAATAAGAATAATAAAGAGGGTTAAAACATTCAGAAAATGCGCAAGAATTGAGAGTATCGAGCCCCCCAAGGAAGAAAAGAAAGAAGAGAAGAAAAAGGAAGAGAAAAAAGAAGAGAAGAAGGAAGATAAGAAAGAAGAGAAGAAGGATGACAAAAAGAATGATGTTTGTCATGCACCAAATGTGTGTCAGAGATGTGATGTGTGGCATCGCTGGTATGTGACTGTTGACGATGGGTATAGTCACTGTTCCATGTTGTGATTAACTCCTCTTGTTGTTGTGCCATTCGTACTATTATTTTCTTTATGACAGATATGATAGTGAGTAAATTTAGATTCTCAATATTCTTGTGATCTTCGAAATAAGGTATCGATTTTATTTAATAACTGTATGGATGTGGCATTGTGGCAAGTTGTCTTATGGATATTTCATTTGTTATTGAATAGGAATGTATGATCCATAATGTTTATTCCTCCTGGGTTTGGATGGATGGACTGTTCTGTTGAATCTGCAGCATGAATGTATGTTGTATTCAGCTTCTGTATTTGTATGCAAGTCTATATAGACTCGATTATACTCTGTTTTTCAGTATTAATAAAAATCCAATCATTTTTCTCTCAAAGTTTAGTTTACCTTTTTCTCTCAGCATGAAGAAAACCCAGAAGAGGAAATCATTAGAGCTGCAAGACTGGCATGTATTAAATGTTGATACTAAACGTAGGGCTTAATTAACGAAACTGTGTAACACTTCTATTTCAGAATCTGCATTAGCAGCAAGGTGATTTTTAGAGAAAAAAAAACTAAAATTACATAGTCAATGGTTTAGACTAAGGCATGAATACAAAACTTGCTGGAGGTGAGTAAATATAAAATAACTATTTACAGAAACTAAAAATTAAACAAGTAGACAACGGTAATAATCGTAAGAAAATGATGGGCGAGGACACTATATATGACAATTGTGTTGATCCGGGGATTAATTGAGCTGACGAAATAGTGTTGCTAGAAATATTATAACATTGTGAATTTCTGATTTATGTTGCCACGCAGTGCTAGTTCAAAATTAAGGAAACGTTGAACATGTAATTGGATTTTAATAAAATGGAAACCGTTGCAATTAAAAAATGCAGATTTTAATCGAGAGGTAGTCTCAGTGACCGAGTTTGTTCACTGCCTTAATCACCCGATTCAGCTGATGCTCCCGAAGACCAAAACGGAATAATGCACTTGTACTGCTAGAAATATACAGCTATTTTTATACGATTATTAAGGCTTGGATAATATTATAAGAAAGTTCCACAATGAAGGTTGATCAAACTTAAACATTGATCGAACTCTATATATGTCATACAATTATTTATAATTCAGCGCAAATTCATCTATATTAAAACGTATATACACGCAGAGAGAGAGAAGAGAGAGAGAGATAAATAGCAATTTTACATAGATCTCCATCATACATGAATTCCATGACGAAAATGGGCAAGACATCAGAAGACAAACGACTGAGCAGGTAAAATATACAAGCAGGAAAGAAGAAATATCCATTGCTCTGCCGAAAAGCTCCGTCCTGTACAGTTATCTCTTCACCAGCAAAACTTCTTTTTCTGTTTGACAAAAGCAAAAAAGTATTGGACATACTTTTAATAAAAATTATTCGGATATTTCTTTTTGAATCTAGAAAAGATGCAAAATATCGTTTACTTACCTGGACTTTGCTTCTTTCCTGAGTGTCAATATATGCCAGAAGTTCTTCTTGTCTAATCAAAGCTTCGTATAAAGCCTGTTTAGCAAACGGAATACACTCGATCTTAGTTATATATACTAACAGATATTGAACAGTTTAGCACACAACTGACTTAGTTTAAAAGACAAGCGTTTGACTGAGCATTGTTTAAAGTGAATTACAATAGCATAGAGAATATATAATCAACAGCAAAAAGAGAAGCTCTAAAGTTTGGTAACAAGGACCCTAATTAACTCTAAGCTAAAAGCAGTAATCTACCTACGGCATCCTGCATTGAATTGAAAATATCTATAGATACAGTGGTTGCAAATCAAGTGTATTGTCAAATATATAAAGCAGCTGCTATAGATTAACACCATCAAAAGATGAAAACTCAAAACATACACATGGTGTAACTTCACATTCACAATCAAAAAATTGATGGACAGGCCAATTCAATGGCAAATAATAGCAAAGCATACCAAACATTTCCTTAAAATTTGAGACTTAATTATGACAGCAGGAATTGCTGTCTGTTTAGCCTGAAGCAAATAATATGATCGTAAATGAAATCCAGTTACCTTCTTTGTAGCGATCAGTTCTGCTTCCAATGCATCCACACGATAAACAGCAGCGTTCAGCAGCTCCTCTTTCTCATGGGGCATTACATTAGGTTTTGATTGTAGCTTGTCAACCTTCTCTTCAAGCACACCAAGGCGTTTCAAAGCAGATGAGATGAGTTCTGACTTGGTCAATCTGGGAACAGGTGATGGGGGACGAGATTCCTCCTTCGTTACCGAATCAACGGTCACGTTAGGCATATTTTGGGCAGAATCAGATTTACTATCCTGTATTCCTTTAGTCACACGAAATGCTAATGAACGAGCAATTGCACAGATGGCAACAAAAAAGCCCACGATAATAGCCCAGATATATGCACGGTTTCCATCAGATCGTCCAGTCCTTAGTAGGAAAATTTCTGCACCAAATAACAAATGCTTTACAAATATAATTTTCATGGTCATAAAATCCCAACTAAAATCCACCACCTTGCACTGGTTCAATTTATCTTGATGTATATTTATGAATTGGTGAATATTTACGATCTTATACAAGTGTATAATATTTTTGTGTTCGTTTTCTTATGCATTGGTAAATAAATAAATAAATAAATATATATATATATATATATATATATAATTTTTTAAAACAATAATTTTGGGTTTTAAAAATTCTTTTATGTATTATGGTCCTTTCTCTCTCTATCCCCACGGGCTTCAATAATATGTAATAAGTTAATAATGGTGGGGGTATCACAATCTACAACTTACAAGAGTATGCTTGGGAGCAGATTTTAGAGGAGAAAAGAGAAAATGACATATTTTTAATTTTAAATAAAAAAAATTATATATCATTTATGATAAAAAAAAAATACATGATTAATATATTAAATTTATATTGATATATCAATTTATATTTTTTATTTAAAAAAACATTAATTTTAAATATATTTATTTAAAATGCAAAATTTGTCTTCTCCCCTCCCCTTTCCAAACAACCTCTAAGGAAATATGCATGGAGTATCTAACCTGTTGAGCCATATGAGTTTTGAGTTGTCACTTGTTTCTCCTTCCAACCGATGTCAACAGCCTTATCAACCATGGGAACATACTCGTCATACTCAGAGAAACCACCAGAATTACCAGCCCTACCAATCAATCTTGCCTGGACAAACATCAAAGTAATTGAATTTCATTTATTTACATTTTTCTAAACTATCCATCTTTACTTTCTTTCTTTTCGCAACCTCAACTCCAATATCATGACCACTTACTTCTTCATGGACAGGAGTCAACCTAGGGTTTGTATAATTCCCACTTGCTTTGGGAGAAGTGACATCTTCGACTTCAGATCCCGATTCAGCTGTTGATGTATCACTACTTCTTATCTGCTTTCAAAATGCAAACAAAGAGCTGATAAGAGTCATAAAATATGAGTTCTCATTCATGAAGTGTCTAAGATGGCTAAAAATCCAGAGAAAGAAAAGAATTACAAAATCTGAAAGTTCATATTGGTGAAGTGTCTAAGAGGGATATACCGTTGGATAGCATGCCTTATCACATTCCATCACAGTCCCCTCGTTGTTAGAAACCGTTACTATTTGTCTGGAGCATTGCACTTCACCACTAAGAACCATCTGCTTGTACACAACTGTTCAGGCTGAGTCACACAATCGTACAAAATATTTAGTGAAAAGCAGAATATAGAAGTTACAAGATAGCAAACCTTTAAAATGTTTGGATCTTGCCATGGTCCTTTATCAGACCTCATACAACCCCCTTGATCTATACAAGTGCAAGTACCACCAAGAAATTCGGGCAGCTCACTGAAAAGCCACACAAACAGTCAGAACTTCTACATAACAATAATACAAGCCGATTGATAAATAACGCCATTAAGAAAAGTTAATGCACAGTTACCTCACATCAATGATTTCAAGTAATTTATTCTGGAACTTGTTTCCAAGAACCTGATGAAACATTGAAGCATCAATTAGTCTTACGCCTATAGATTATCTCTGTCTTACCCCATAAAAATCAAAACAGAAAAAATAAAAGCTCAAACAATTAACACATACATTTATCTTTGAAGTTGTTTTGGGATCAAGAAATGTTTTCACTGTGTTCCAAAGCAGCTTAAAACCAGGACCAGCATTGATTATAAACATTCGGCATAATGTCTGCAAAGAAGAGATACCAGAGCAACAAGTTCAGCAGCCGTGAATGTGAAGAATTGAAAACTACCAAAATAATTATGATTAAATTCACATACTTCTGGATAGTAGTCACCATCTATTTTCTGCAGCCGCATGATAAGATCCCGTGCAGATTTAGTTAGGTTTTTGAAACCCTGCAAAGCATAATGCAGCATGGTAGTCCACAGCAATTATTGACTAAATCTAAATCAAAATGGTCTAAGGAAACTTTCAAGACCATTTAGACAGACAACATACCACGCCTTGGACATCCAAAATGGTTGTACTTGAATCTATATGTCTCTTTGCAGCAATAGAGGATGCAGGAAACTTAACAGAAAATGTTTTCTCAAAACCCTGCACATGGTATCTCAAATACCTTTCCATTGTTGTCACTTGCATAAGCTTATTGGGATCAACTTTGCCTAGCCTCTCAATGTAAACAGGTTTTCCCTCCTTATCCACACCATGATAACCATGCGGATAGTACTGCAGGACTTCATCCAACTCGCTGAATTCAAAATCCTAAAGAGAAAAACAGGAAAATAAAGTAGTATATAGTGAACAACAATTTAGATCATTGAATCAAACATGATCAACCAAAGAAGAAAACCAAATAAGAAGTTAGGTATATTTTTCAAATCCGTTGACTCACTTCCATAATTGTATCAGTACCATAGTCTTTCCTCCATTGGATCATGTTGGCCCACATGTGCTTCGCTTTCTCAATATCAAATTTCCTTGCTTTCAAGAATCTGCAATAACATCAGTTGGTTCAATTTCTACATCATGCTCTAAGGAAAACAAGTTATCTGTGTAAGAAGCATGTAAACTCTCAGTATGCCAAGATACCATCTATGCAAACCACAAATGCGACGAGCAAACGTTATGATTTAGCTATGTGGTTTGAAATGCTGAACCCCCAAATTAAAACCAATCTATTATACATGACACTCATAATTAGTAAAGGCACGACAACTTATCAATGATGCACATGTTGTGACCACTGCAATCTTTCTAAATAGCCACAAGATAAAAAAACCCAATCCATCTTGATATAAAAGTAATACATGTTTAAACACAACTTGGAAGCAATAAATAGCAATAACCTCAACAACATATGATAGTCATCATGTCTCGGAGGCAACAAGTTGTCCGACATAAGTGCTTGTCGAAATGCATCCACAGCTTGGAGCTCCTTAACATCTCGAACATCCTCAATGGAAACAGAATTGCTACGACTGGCACTCTTTCTCCTGCTGCTTTTCTTCCTAAGAGAATGCCTAAATTTGCTTGATGCATTGATTGCTTTTTTCTTCAAACTACCAATCCTCGTTCGCCGATCATCCTCCGAATTCTCAAAATCTGATTTTCTCTCCCTCCTCTCATCATGACCAGAAAACCCTTCAAAGCCTAAGAAACAAAGTTTCAACACAATCCATTTCAATTACATTTCAGAACTCAAAATCAAAGAGACGCAAATGCAGAACATGTTGAAGAGGTCCAATTAAGTTCTTCACTACAGGCAAATCCTTAGAAGCATCTCAATCAGATATAAGACTGGTTAGACATTACCGATCACTAACCTACTACTCGTTTGTTAAATCTAAGACGATATGTATTTGTATTAAACTAAATTAAATCAAATTAAATTAAACTAAATGAAATTCAGCTGATATAAACCTAATTTCAGTTGATATAGTGATCTAGATCAAAGCATGAGATAATTGGATGCATATTTAAGCGTTGAATTAACGAAAATTATATAAATAAATAACGATTGAAGAAAATATCGGTGATACTCACAGGGACGTGCGAACCGATCAAGCGGTCCGGACATGTCAAAAGTGTTGAATGAATATGAAAGTTGTGAATGGAAGAACACATGAAATTCAGAGCCAAACCGATAAAAAGCAACTCAGAGACACAGAAACCTGAGACAGAATCCAAATAAAATAAAAATATGATAAATATGGGGTGGTGTTGGTGTTGGATAGAAGATAAAAGATGTCGGCAGAAGAGAAAGAGAAGAAGAATGGTTTATGAAACGGTGAAAATCGTTCAAAAACTGTAAATCTCAAAGTCAGATATGGTTGCCTCTTCAGCCTGCCAGTACATGTTTGCTTGATGACTTTGATGTTAAAAAAATTGAATTTGGCCTATTAAAGTGGAGATTCAAGTTTAAATTTACGGTTAAAATTATGAGTAAATTGATATGCGTGTGTAATGAATTGCAATAATAATGGGTAATATATTACTATGTCTCCGGCGTGGTATCTGTCAAAACCATTTTATTAATTTAATACTTGACCAATAATATATTAACATCTTGTTTCGTAACTTTTCGTGCTTAGATATTTTGCGTCATCAATAATTTATGGAATTATTTAGATTTTAATCACTAGTCTAATTATTTAGTTAATAGTATGGTTCGGCATTTTTTGGCGCTAAAATAATGTCTACAATAATGTATAAAACAAATTAACAATGCAATTGAGCAATATTTTTTATTAAAAGAAATATGAAGGAATTAAAAGAGGAACCAAAAATCCTACTTAATGTACATTCCATTGAATTCTCACTTTGATTTTTAATAAAAATATTCTCTTTTTCCATTATTGTTAGCAAGACCCAAATTGAAATGCAATATTTTTTAAAATTATGAACACACAACTCCAATCTCACATGGGGTGGCTTTTCATTTTTCGGGTCCTACAAGTATTGCATTGTTTGCAGCCACCTTGTCTTTATATGGGTCCACCATTTTTATCTAAAACATGGCGCGAATTCGTCGTCGGTGCGGTGGTAGTTGGTGCTATGTTACCTACGCCTTTCTCGTCAACTCTTACTCCTTTTTATGGGAAAACTGGTTATTTCTATCACTCTATAATAAAGTTGACTAGCATCAAGTTTTTTAATAACTGTTAAATATTGTGAATATAATTTTTTTTTTATCGAGGGCAAACCCAACTCCTATATTCTATAGAGAAATAAGAAAATGTACCCAAAGTTTTTTTTTTCGTTTTTTAAGTCCCCGTAAAGATAGGGTTACTATTTAATAAACATTTCACTAATAAATATTTTTCTCTTTTGACCGCTTAAAAAAGTAAACATTTCCCTAATTGGTACAAGTTGGGACAATGAAATTTCCTTCAACAGTGAGGCACTTCGCTTCTTTATTTACATAAATATTTGCATAATGACACTCGAGATTAGCTGACTTTACATTCACCTCGTTATAGAACTGGTGGCGTGCACTACATGTATCTATTTTTAGTTATTACGATGGCGCAGGAAAAAATGGTCACCCTGTTGCTTCCGCAACACAAAACACTCCGTATGATATAACATTAATAAATTGGTAAGATTGAATTATATCTTCTTAAAAGATTTTGTTCTCAATAAAAAGAGAAAAAATTTGTTCGTGTTTGTATTCCATTGTTGATTGGTGATAAATCGTCCAAATATTATTATAAATTTCTGTAAAGAGATGATTTCCTTCTTTCAAAAGTATTATAAAATTATACGCATATCTAAAAGTACTTCTATGTCCTCTTACTACCTTTTCAAAGTCACCCAACTCCGTTCCCATACTAGTTATCCACATTTTGGGAGTGAAAAATTTACAACAGGGGGAAAAGGCAGGTTTCAATCCAAGAACAAGAGTTCTTTTTAATCAACATAACATTAGTTTTGAAGCATATGTAGTGAAGCAGTCTAACGAGGCCCCGAGCAACATAGCAAAAAAAAACCTGTGGGAGGTTTTTAAACATATTAAAATTACGGACAGACAGTCCAGAATAATTATTCAGCGTAATTCAGTTAATAATTGAATTCAATAAGCATTGAATGGGTATTTGATTCCAGAGTTTCAGAGCATTAATTGATTTTAAAGGTTTTCTATTGGCAAGTCTACCTAAGAGTAAACCAAATGCAAAGAACAAAGTAATTTATTTACAGCAGTGTATCCAACCATCCCAAATATTTTAATAATACAGCGAAACACAACCATCACTTTACTGCATCCTATGGATAAAAAACAAAATACATATTAACAGCTTTTGAGGATTGAAACGAGTATATCAGAAAAGCAGTGAAAAGTTCCACATGATTGCATTAGCATTAATGTTTACAAATATATACAAATATTCACAATGTAAGCATATATATATATATATATATATATATATATAGGCCAAGTAAGGGAGAGACATGACTGCCATCTGCTGTACCGAATCCCATCGACTCTCTAATATAAGATTTGAATTATATACAATTAAGGCGTTCAGGATCTGCAACAAAATAAAAGTTGTCGGCGTGCATTAAAGCTGTCCCAACCGAAAAAAAAAACCAAAAAATGGTTGGGCTTTGGGTAAATTCACTCAGCTAGAGAATTCTTAAGGCAGTGCTGGAAGCGTTAAATTGTCATACCATAAAAGCTTCATACCTGTTATTCACGTTTTTTCCAGCCCTAAGTTGATTGAGTTTGTCCCTCCACAAAGCTACAGTTTCATCAGAAGAAATATGAGATGTGAAAGTAATACATTAGAGACATACAATCTACACAGCAGTCCAAAACTAATGTTAATGTAATATTGCAAGACTTACATCCTAATTTGATGCATGTATAAAGGAATAGCCACTTATGTAGACAACTGAATACCTAGAGCAATATTAAGCTTCACAAGTATATAAAAATACAAATTTGTTCTGATGCCTATACAGATGCCTAGCAAAAGCCTGTTCTGATGAAAATAGTTTAAGTGATGTCATCTATGACAGTTCTCCTACATAATGCCAGGGGCATATAGCATACAAATTTGTTTTAATTAAAACTGATGAGTGATGATACCAAATGCTTAGAGACTATATAGAGGCGATGAATGAAGAAAATGTAAGGATCACTTTATGTTACTCACTAACAGTAAAAAGTCATGTTTTAAGAGAGAAAGACATTAAAACAAAGTTAATAGACCCACATAAATAGTAGTGGGTCCTACTATAATTACTTTTGCATCCTAGCATGAGGGTCCTCATCCAAGAAGAAAATCAACAAGTTGAAACTTCTCCAACTAATAAGGGCAAAAATATCAAAACCAGTACAGTAGACTAGGGAGTAGGAACATGATTGGCTGCCACTATGATCAATCACATACAACATCCAATGTGCTTTTGCCATGCATCATACATTTTTAAAAAATGTAGAGAACATAGAACACAATCAATAGATTGAAAAAATAATCTTAAGACAATTATTACCTGCATCTTTATAGCGCTCTTCAACAACAGCTTTCAACATGTTGTGCAATAGATTGAACTCCATGGTCTCGGTACAAGGCTGACCACTTGGCCTGCAGTTGTGTCACTTTTAGTTAGAATATGTATTTCACAATGAAAAATATACTAATAATGAGACAGATTCCAAGAACTTTTTTTTTTTTATTTCCTTTACATAAATATATTCAAGAACAGAAACTACACATACTACATATGAGTCAAGTGTGTTATAACTATTAAGGTATCTTTTTCGCAAACATACCGGTCCATCTCAGTAAATAATCGACCGTCCGAACCAGGGAACTGTGATGGGAGTTTGCCTGATTCAATTACTCTCATACCATCGCTGTATGCCAAGTACTTGTTGACTTGTATCGGCACCTACAGCATTGTTAAAAATAGTGAAATCTCTTATAAACCTAGTCTCATTTTTAACAAGTATAACTTTAGGATTTGGCATTTAGTAAACACAATCCAACAGTGCATCCAAGATATTTAACTTGCCTAAACAATGAACCGTTCTGACAAATAAAGATGTCAAAAAAAAAATCTGCCGGTACTTGATTTTTCTAATATCAACCAGGTAAAAAATGAGCAACTGCCAAGCAAATCAATAAAAGAATGCAATCTGCTGCAGTGGAAAACGTATTCATAAGCATGAATATACAAATATTACCTTGCATCTTACTGCAATATTGATAGCATCTGAAGGTCGAAGATCAAAGCTCACACATTCTTGCTCATTTCCAACCTATACCAATTACCAAATATAATTAAACTGTCATACAACGCTTGGGGTGAATTCGCATGCTTTTATTTCTCTTTTTCTTTTTTCTTTCGTGGGGGAAGGGGGAGGAAGAATACAAAATAAATACCTTGGTAAGATACAACTGGGCAAAATATGCCTCATGAACCCTCCTAGTAACTCTGACTAGTCTCACCTGCAGAAGCAGGAAATGACATGATTATATCATCATGAAATCTGATTGAAATATCACAAAAAAATCAGGATAAGGAGTAGAGTATAAAGATAAACAGAACCGTACTTCATAACCCATCTTGTCAACCATCTCCTTCACAACTTGATATAAGGTAGGTCTAGCCTGATACAGCAATCAGATAGTTAGTATCCATGTGGCTATATTACAAAAAACCAAAATCATTTGGGATCAAACACTTGATTAATTACACATCTTGGAAGAATACAATGAGGGTAATACAGTGGAATTCAAATGACAAAGAGGACATACTATTGGAACATTGCGTATTGCTGCCATTAGCAAGACGCTTGGCATCTCCACTGAAAATATTACATTACAGAAATTTATTATGGTACAGATGCATAATTATCAAAATCAAATGCAAGAACTATGTTTCCATGATAAAAAAATGTTAGGGAGTAAGACAAACATACAAACAATTATAGGGAGAAGTAGACCAGTCCCATCTTCCATCTTCAATACAATAGCAGGATGCGGTGCATAATCTGGAAGATGCCCTCCCTGAGGATTGTTATGGATGCATCTCAAGTGTCTTCCATCCCTCATTTTGATTATGAAACCATCTGCTCCGCTCTTCACCTCAACTAATCAACAAAATCACAGAACAAGTCTATTTCATAAGAGCCAAATGGGGGAGGAGACACTGTTTGCCAAAGTTTCTTGCACCATCATCACACCCATTCAGTTAGCCCAAATCCAGTATTCAATTAACATATAAATTTGTATCTCCTAAGACATGTAGACACCCTATCTAGAATCAGCGCACTAATATCGTCATATTGCATCATTGATCATGTTATCTTAGTGGCAATTCACTGAATAATGTTATAATTTTTATTTTTATGGAACTAGTAGCAGCTAAACATACCAGCTTCAATCACACTAGAGTTAACATAATCTTCATCTTTTTCATTGAAATTATCTGCGGTACTTCCACTGTCATTCGAAGACGAGTTGGAACTACAATGCACTCTCTTGCACTTTCGCATGTTTATGTGACAAGAGAGAAAACTAGATTTAGCCATGGCACCAGAGAGACCCCAAAATTCACTTCTAATGCATCTAACACTCATTTTCATTGCCCCGATCATAGGAATTCTACAGAACCCTGCTTTGGCAGAGGGGCATACAACCGGTACTTGCAGAGAACCCATTCTCCAAACCTAAACAACAGACACCAAAACAAAATTAACCACATGCATTAATTAATAATTAAAGAATTATCTTAGACCTAAATTAGTAAGAAATCATTGCAACCATAAAACCCGACTCGACCCGATATTTCAATGCGTTTTTCCTTTTACCTTTTTGAGCGATTATGAAGTATCTGATCTAGGCCTTGCGCAAAGGGTCAACAGAATCGCTCGATGGTGATTTAGAATTCGAATGAAACGTAACGAAATGGATCAAGGGTTTTGAGTTATATTATAAGTAAATGATGAGATCGTGTGAAGAGATCATAAAAGAGGGAATTAGGAATGGAAGATGGAAAAGAAGATAAGAGATTCTTTGAGAAAGATGGAAAAGCAAAGAACTGAAGATTTATATATGAGAGAGAGTGAGGTGGAGCTTGCGTGAGCTTCAATCACAACGCAAAGGTACAATCACTCTTATACCCTCTATTTCACGCTCTTCTAGTTGTTGCAGGTGCCATTTAATACTGTACAAATAACTCTTTTCTCGATAAAAATATGTTCTTATGGTTATTCAGACAACACAGATAAAATAATACTACATTAACTTTCCTACAACCTTCTTTTTACCTATAGTTTTGTGTGTGAGTTCCGAATTTCAAGCACCAGTGCCCAAGACTCAGTTTCAGTAAATGCTTTTATGGTTTGTTTGTTTGTTTATATGGAAAAATAATTATAAGAAAATATATTTTATATGTTTAGATGTTTTGTAAAAAAATTACATGTGCTCTATCAATTTATTTTGTATAAGTGAGATTTTGCACGGAGAAGATGTGACATTTTTTAGTTTTATATTCTGTTAAAAATATTTTAAAAAATACATAATTAAATAATATTATGTTAAAAAAATTATTTTTTATTATAAAATTATTTAATATAAACTACTTTTTTCATTCATCTAAATAAATAAATAAAATTTTATTAATTCAAACAACACATTCTTTATTTTTTTTTACTTATTTTTTTACGCATTTTCTATTTTATCCAAAAGTAAAATAAAGTATTTCCTTTTTCGCATCGAATAAGCTAAACAATTGTAACATAATTGATTTGTGGCCTCATAATTTATTTTTAGCCTGATTGGTTCTACATTTGTATGTCTAGGATACAATATAATTTTGACATAACTTAGAGTACTAATTAAAATTTGATTTCATATTCAATGAATTTTAAGGCATATCTAAACACACCATTAATCATGTTCTGCAGTTAATTAACTTTTTTATTTGAGTTAAAGTAAAAATGACTCTCCTATTCTTTAACAAAATTACATTGAATAATAAAAATATAAATAAGTTGTATTATTCATGAATTATTTGAATAAGGATAACTTATAAGTAGAGTCGATTAATCTTTAAATAACTCATATATATGTATCATTAAATAATTACAAATATTTATTTTTAAAATATTTTATTTTTTCTTGTACATATCATTTATCTAATATTAATTTTTAAGAGACAATTTAAATAAATGACTAATCTTTTTTAAATATCATTTTCGTCATTAAAAATTATACTTCAATCATATGGTATCATTGTGGATTTAAAATTATAACTTTATTGTTGTTTTACTTCACTTTCTAATATGAAGATATATATTAAATATTAAACTAATAAAAAACAATTATATTTATTAAGATAAAATTTTTTAAAAAATGACTTTAAGCATTAAAATTTTATTTTAGGTCAAACTTAAATTTATTTATTTAAATATATGAGACAATTTGAATAAATTTAAAGTTTAAGTGATCAACTTAAAATTCATTTAAATATGTTCTAATCCCAATATTTAGTTAAAATTAATTTAAATACACATAATAATTTTATAAAAATTTAAATAAAATATACGAAGGTAAATTCGTGAACAATATGGAAATATGAAAATCTACTTCAAAGTACATGTTTAGTCATTTTAAAACTGTAGTGTTTTTGGTTTTTCTTTTAAAAGGCATGTATAAGAATCGAAATAAATGCATTTCATCTAAATAAAGGTTGGCAATAATGATACGTAATCTGGAAAATATCACATGAACTGGTTATATATTCCAAGGATTAAAAAAAAATGCTCAATTATGGATAGTAGTTGTAACAACATAATTAACGTAACGTTTAAATAGTGTACTTTAAATATTTATTCATCATGAACACTTATTTTCACTTTTTAACATAATAAGGACAAAAGACGAATCAAATATAGAATATACACGCGTACGTGCAAAAAGCAAAAATAAAAGCAAGTTGTCTTAAAAATAAATAAAATATCAATATGTTTATTTATAATATTGATTTTACGTAATATTCTTTTAACCTTTATTCAAATGCTTTCGATAGTAAATAAAAAGATATAAAGAAATTTTCATTAATATATATTCTTGAGATGTATGTTAAAAAAATTCGTTAGTTTCATTACAAATTTCAGAAATATATGCCCTTTTTATTAATTTGATAGCCTTTAGCGTGGTTAATTAATTTAAATTTCCATGATAATATATATTTAAATATATTATTTTTTAAAAATTTACAAAAATATGATACTCAAAGTACAGATGTAGAGATTCAGAAATTAAATAAAGAAAAATTATAAATTATAAAATAAAAAATTGCCAATAATAAATTTTAAAAATTATGAAAATTTAAAACTGTTAATGATGTTTTTTTTTTTTTAAAAGTAGCTAATGACGATTTTTTAAAAATAATAAAAAATTTAAAATATCAAAAAATGTCATTTGTGATTTTTAGTTAAAGATCATATTTTTATAATTTATTTCAAAATACTGTACTGATAGTTTATCTTTTCTTATTCTGATTAAAAAAAAAAAGCCCTTTGGCATCGTTGGCCATTTTCTTCACGTCAGAGACAAACACTTCCCAAGCAACAAATCAAACATATATAAAATTTTAAATTTTAAATTTTAAATTTTAATTTCACAAAGATAAATATAATTTTAAGAAAATTAATATTTAAAAAAATTAGGTAAAATATATCAATAATTAAAATTTTCAAAATTTAACATTAGAGAAATTAGGTAAAGAGATTCTTTTAAGCTTTTTAATAATTTAAAACTGGAAATATTAATAAACGGTTTACACGAGGGGTGAGAAAGATTCTCATGAAGGTAAAAAAATTATTAAAATATAATTATGCATTTTAATATTATTTGAAGTTATTGTGATTAAAATTATTAAAATTAAAAGAAAAATATACTTTTCAATTTTTAAGTGAACATGTAATCACTGCTTAACTTTTAATTACGACTGTGTACATGTAATTATATTATCTAAATTTATTATTCTCACTATGTTATAGTAAAAATATATAAACAGCTAATTTTTTAAAATAATTTTTATTTTTACACACATTCTTGTATTATAGTACATTTTATTATTTTATTTTATAATTTAATATAAAATTTTAAATAAACCCTAATTTAATTAATAATATAAATAAATTTCATTAATTATCATAGAATAAAATAATTTTTTAAGAAATTTAATACTTAAATCAAACATAATGTTAAAACATAATCATTGTATAACATTTTTAATAATATTTAACTCATACCAAACAGATTTTTAACATTATCAGAAAACATAACTATTAGAAAATATGATTCTTAAATATTGTCCACTACTAATTACTATTGATATTTTTCCACGTTGACTCCAAATTAATTAATAAGCATAAATTGGAGAATAAACCTGCTAGTTGTAATGTTAGTTATAACCTTCTTGTGTTTTGAAGGATACATATATTCTGCACTAAGATTTTTACTGCATTAAATTTTATTTATTAAATTATATTAATATAATATTAAATTTTATTAAATAATTTAATTCAATATATTTCTATGGTTAAATGTCAAATTGCACATTCTATGATAAAAAATAATTGAGAGATCCAATTCTATCTTTACTATCTTTTAAATGTATCAATTATAAATTATCTAAGAGACTAAGAGCATGTTTATTTGTATTTTTGAAAAGAGATTCTAAATTCTAAATCCTAAAAAAAAAAAATTAAAATGAGTTTTTATTATATAATTCAACGAAGAATTCGTTTGATTTATGTAAAAACCAAACAAAATAAAAGTATTTTTATATTTTTCATGAAGAAAATAATAGGATTAGAAGTTATTATCTATTTTATTGAAAATTAGGAGACAATAACCTTGAGAATTTAGTTTAAATGACCATAGCTGCAAAAGGAAAGACTGCGATCCGAGCATCAATTCATCAAAAACCTTAGCTCATTTTTCTTTGAAAAACTTGAATTCATGATACGCTCAGTAATCTTAATATTAAAAATCAGGGAGCATGACACGTATTTTATTACAAAACTTACAATTATTCGTGTTATGGTGAGATTAAATAAAAAGATATATATATATATATATATATATATATATATTAAATTATATATCTTTGAATATAACAAAGATATATCATCATAAAAATATAATAAAATTTAAGATAAAAACATGTTTATAACGAAAAAATAAAACATTTATAAATCAAATATGAAGGAATAAAATAAGAGTGTCGTTAATTATAATACAATTAATATAATTTTTTATAATAATGATTTGAATATTTCATATCATGTTTTAACATGTAAATTTATAATATTTAAACTCTTATTATAAACAAATTTTAAGTTACTTTTACTTTAATCATAAACAAAATTTATTAATAATTTTATATCTTAAGCAAAAAATGTTTATATTAAGAAAAATCATTATAATGAAAATTTTATTAAATTTCAATAAATATTTTTTTATATAAGCAACTAAAAGTGTCACAAAGGTGTATTTTATTTTGTTTAACTTATTTAAAAGATACACACAATAAAAATATATGAACGAACTAAATTCGTCATTTTATTAAAATATTACAAGAATTTTCAAATTAATTTAATTATTGGTATTATTAATCTCTCTCTCTCTCTCAACTTGTGTAGTAAAAATTATTTTTCTTATGATCCTACTTAATAATTTTTATAATACAATATTTATACATATTTTTAATTTAAATAATATATAATTTTTTCACAATTTATTTGACTTGTTTATACTTACTTTTAAGTAATATGTTATCAATAATTATTGTTAAACATTGATAATTATGTAAATCTAAAAATTAATGAATATGTGATTTAAATAAATTTTATTTTTTACAAACTTAATTAAAATACACTAATAATGTGAGATTCTTTTTCTTTTAAAATTCGTAAGAGTAAGTTTGAAAATAATAATAAAAATATAAATATTGCATTATAATAAATAATGATAATAATACCAATTACTAAAACAATATAATATTTTCTTAATTTTCATAGATACACGTGTCTTTGAATTATAA